ATGCATTCTCCATGGGGGTAGCATTATTTCACTCTGCTTTAAGGGCACGGGCAAGGGCAATCTGTTACCCTGGCCATGAACTTAATGTGAGATGACAATGGATCCAGGTCCAGAGGAAACAAGCCAGTTGTGCTATCGGATCAGAGGTTTTCAGGCAGGATTCCTGGTGGGGCTGAGCAGCTGAGAATGTATACAGTTGTCTGTCTCAGAGGAGTCCATCTCAGACCAGGAGTCTGTGTGATGGGAGGTACCCCGGTGATGGCGGGTCTGGGCAGAGAAGCTGGAAGATGACACAGAACCGCTCTACCAAGGAACGCCCCTCCCTCGCTTCTCGAAGGAGCTCACGTTCCTCTGGAAAACTCTTACTTTACCTTCAAGGCTCAAGGAAAATGCCACCTTCTCCATGAAGCCCTCCTGCCTTGCCTGCTTCCAGCTACCGCACGTATGAGCAGGTACCACAGTGATGCGCCTCCCCGGCTCCTCCACAGACTGCTTCCTCCTGCATGATTGCTTCTCACGTGTCTCACGATTCCAAATACCGTATGTATGTGTCTGCTGCTTTTGTTAGCCTCTTTTCACTCTAAGACTCCAAGCTCCCTGATGGCAGGGGCTGTGCACCACTGTGTCCCCTGTTCCCAGCGCTGTGCCTGCATCGGGGGGGCACTCACGACACTTTGTTGAATAAATGAACAGATGTGAGCTCCTCAGGGATCTGCTGTTCCTCCAGCACCCAGCACGGTGGCGGGCCCAAAGTTATCACACAGTGAAAAGCTGAATAAATAACGGCTGTTTTTTTTTAATGATTAAGTTTTTTTCAAGTTTGCTATCAAGAGTAGGATGTATATGGGCTTCCCTGGTGGCGCAGTGGTTGAGAGTACGCCTGCCGATGCAGGGGACGCGGGTTCGTGCCCCGGTCCGGGAAGATCCCACACGCGGCGGAGCGGCTGGGCCCGTGAGCCATGGCCGCTGAGCCTGCGCGTCCAGAGCCTGTGCTCCGCAGCGGGAGAGGCCACAGCAGTGAGAGGCCCGCGTACCGCAAAAAAAAAAAAAAAAGAATAGGATGTATAAATATGCTATCCTAGTTAGCACAGAACTCGGACTGAAGAGAAATCTGAAGATGAACAATTAAGAATTTACGTAAAAATCCAAGATATATTCTAAGCCGAGACCTGTTCAGTCTATTACACTGATGGGCACCTTCGTTAGGGTCCCAGCAAGATGGCAGGGAAGGATGCTGAGGAGAAGAGCGGCCTGGGGAATCGAGGAGGGAGCCCTGCTGCCTGGGAGGGACCCTGGCTGTGCGATATCATCCGGGAAGGCTCCGGCGTTGAAAGCACTCTGCTTGTCACATCATCTCACTGTCGTTCCCGCGTCCCACGGGGTGGACGGGTCAGGAGCTCGAGAAGGAAACTGAGACAAGAAGCCAAGCAACTAAGGTCACAAGGTGAATCAGCAGTGGAGCCAGAGTCCGGATCGGGTTGGTGGACTCCGAGTCCAGGGCTCTTCCCACGACACCCACCAGCGGTCAGGCCAGCTCTCACTCGACCTCTGTGAGGCTGCTACTACCCGCAGCTTCTGCGGTTTCAGCGTGGAGCATCCCCTGGGCCCAGATTAGTGTCAGTGAGAACAGGTTCCTTGGGGCAGGGTTTAAAGGTTGACTATAGAGTCAGGCGGATCCCACCACTGGGATCTCAGGTAGGTTCACTGAACTGTCCTGTGGCTCAGTTTCTTCATCTGCGAAATGGGATGACAGTAAAATGCACCTCCTGTGCTTGCTGTGGGATTAAACAAGCAAGCGTTTTCAAAGCCCTCGGCACAGGCGTTGTCTGGAGCGTCTTGTTACAGTGGTTAGAAGTGACTGGCTCAGATGTGGGCGCAGGCTGCCGCCACACCCAGCCTTCCTCTGCCCTCTCTCCTCCTGCCTCCCGATCAGCGGGCACGGCTCTGCAGGGAGAGGTCCAGCCAGCAAGTTCAGCCTGCCCTTGGCATGCAAGCCTAGCCCCGTAAAACCCTCTAACCAGAAGCAGCCACTGGCTCTGCTGTCCCGAGGCCTTCTGTCCCCTCACAGGGGCTGGTTCTGTGCCAGGTCCACACCCTCTGCCCCAGGGTCTCTGTGAGCAGGTCCCATTCCCAAGGGTCCCCAGGCTCTAGCTCAGGGCCCTTCCCAGGAGGGAGTCCAGGAGGGCTGAATGGGACAGATGCCTGCACTCCAGGTTTCCTGCTTGGGAGACACCGAGGACGGGGTTTGCTGGGGCAGGAGAAGACAGGGGTCTCCAGGAGAGACCCTAACACTTGAGATGTGCGAGAATGGCACCAATGGAAACCGCCTCCCCCGTAGATGCAATAATCCCAGGCATCTGGGGAGGAAAGGCCCAGGACTGATCACAGCTCAGCTCATCAAAAGCCGGTCCTGGAGGTACTGGAGGGCCAGTTAAGCCATTCACCCTGAGACCTCACTCACATCCTCCCCATCTGTCTCCTGCAGAGTGTGGGGGGGGGGGGGGACCTGAGCCTGCAGGGAAAGCGCCTCTTTGATCCCTGTTGGCCCCAATCAAACATCATTTACAAGTTAGGTTCTGAGCTGTCCCCAGAGTGAAGGCTTGGGCTAAGCCCTCCCTCGGTGGATGAGAGCCAGGGCAGTTAAAGTTTACATTTGAACTCTGTCAGTTCTCGGCCTGACCTCCAGTTTATGACATCCCCTCTCTCCTTGCCTACTAACTACGACCCCCCTGAAAGCTTTGGGCTTGTGTGAAAAGGAAACCACAGGCCCGGCCCGGCCCAGCCGGCAGCTGGCAGGCTGAGTAGGTGTAACTCGACCTGCTCTGTCCTCAGGCTGAGGCACACCTGGCACACCTGCCCAGAAGTCGGATTCTGGTAAGAAGCTAGGTGAGTGAGTACCCAACAGCTGTGATTCAGGACCGGATGCTGAGCTCACTGTACGGAGCCTGGGTCTCCTGGGGTGGGGTGGGGTGGAGCAGAGGAAGGGAGCAGGGAGGATTCCATGTCAAGGCCTGATGGGGTCACCTAGCAAAGGCTGGTGGAGGAAGAAAAGCATGGTGCGTTCAGGTAAGGGTGCTGGGACCAACTAAGAGATTTTCACCTCTTCTGCCATGGGGCTGGGGGGTGCTGGGGGGAGAACTTAATAGGAGAACCAGTGCAACTATAACGGTCCTCAGACACACCCCGTGTGGACCCGGAGTGGGTTCTGAGCTGGGGCGGCAGTGGTGGCAGTGGGGTTAGGGGAGGTCAGGAAGGCACCCTCCCCTCTGCCTTCGCCAGGGCCAGGGACTCAGGACTCGGCCCGGGGTTCCCAGCACAAACAGGAATTCCCACAGGTCCCTGAATAGACCTCTGTTCTCTAGAATATTCTCTGTTCATGAATTGGTTCCTCTTACAACACCCCCAGGCCCACCAGTCAGCTTAGCAAAGTGACTCCAAGGGTCCCAAGTTGGAGGGCGGCAGGACAGGCTTCCGAGGGGCTCCGGGTGCTGGGGATGCCCCCCCTTCACCAGGCCTTACCCACTGCTCTGCTCTGACCCTGAGCCTGCGTGGGCAGAACTGCATTGGGTTCCCTCCTAGGAACCTCGGGGGAGGAGCACACACAGGGTGCAAGTCAGGGGTCTAGGGGCTGGGGATGTGGAGTGGTCACAGCAAGGGGCATCGGCCTCCCGTTCAACTCCCCAGTCCCCAACTTCCTTCAGTCCCGAAAGTCCGAAGAGAGGCTGAGGGGAGGGAGGGTGCACACCGGGGGGGGGGGGGGGGGGGGGGGCGGGTAAGCTCCCAGGAACACCAGACAGCAGCAGCCCTCTTCCTCGGGTGGCTGGAATTCCCTAATCCTCTCCTGGAAGCGCGGTTTCTAAGTCGGCTGGCAGGGTCCCAGGGCTGGCCACGGTCGGTCACTGCCCCTTAGTGGGGAGCCTGAGTGCCCGACCCTCACCTTACAGGGCCGGTGTCTGTTCCCCAATCAGCCGGCTCTCATCCCCTCCCAGAGTAGGGTCCCGGGCTTCACTCCTCCCTGAGGGATCCAGTCGGCTGTGGCGTCATAAATTCAGCCCTGCGCCCACTCAGGTCTCAGCCTACACCTCCACCACCTCCCTTCACCCCAGAAGACCCCCAGAGCTTCTGGGGCCGGGGGAACCCGGCTAGGGGCGAAGCCCCCTCGCTTTCCACTCCCCAGGTCCCCAAGACCCCCGGCCTCACCACACTGCAGGGAACCAGGGGAGTTCTGTCCAGTCGTGCTATTGTCCCAGGTCCGTCCCGGTCCCCGGGGTCGCATGCGCCCTGTTTTCCTCCCCCTACCGAGACCCCTCCGCACCCCGACCTCCAACCCCAAGGCCAACAGGCCAAACGCTCGGGAGCCAGAGGCTCAGGTGGCACTGCCGTCCCCTAGGTCCGCGAAGCTAGGGCGGTCAAGACCCTGCAGCGTGCGGACCCCACCCCACCCCCGCAAGGCTGCGGCAGCGAAGGGCCGGCGCGCGGCGGGGCGCTTACCTGCGGGAGAAATTCGTCCTTCCCGCCCTGGGCAGGGGCAGATGCAGCATCCTCCCGGCGCAGCGGCCCTCGGCCGCCGGCAACCCCGCGCCGACGCCGCGCCCGCCCGGCCGACCAGCGGAGGTCTGAGCGCGGCCACGCGGACGGCCGGAGACCCAGGACCAGCCCTCGCCCCTCGCTCCCTCCTCCCCCCGCCCGCCCGCCCGCCCGCCCGACTCACCGCTCCAGCTGCACTTAAAGCGACAGAGCCCCACTTCCCGTCGCCGCCTCGGGTCCCGAGCCCCGACTGCGAGCGGGCCCTTTAACGCCCGGAGCAGGTAGACAAAGAGCGGCCGCGGCGCGGCAGTTCCGGGGCTCGGGGGCCGGGAGGTGCCGGCGGCTGGGGCCTCGGTCCCCGCCGGGCGGCTGCGGGTCACATCCCCTCCTCCCCCCCCCGACGCCGGCTGCGGGCCACCACCACCCCCCCGCCGCGGGTCGACCCGGGCTCTTCCTCGGGCTACGCGGGCAGGCGCGTGTGGGCATCCCAGGTCTCTGGGGACAGGGGGCCCGCGTGCGCTGGTGGGCACGGGTCGGGGAAGCTGGACCCTCCCCGGAGGGCTTCCTCCCAGCTCCCTCCTGGCCCCTTTCCAGGCTTTTAAATCAGACCAAGTAAGAGCCCGGGATCAGTACAGCGCCTGCAGCAAGGTCGGCGGGGGTGCCGAGGGGGTGAAGGGCAGACGGGGTGCAAAAGCCAGAGGCTGCTCAGGAGCTGTCCTCCTTACAGGGTGGGCGACCTGAAAAGTGCTGACCACTGACGGGGGGCGGGGCTAACCCTCCCGCGGGGGGCGGGCGGGGGGAACAGGGCAGCGTGCACGTTGGGGCTGATTGTGGGGAGAAAGCACACCACGCAAGGGTCTGTGCCTGCATCCAGGAGGCATTTCCAGTTGACTGACCAGGAAGAAAGATGTAAAGATTTTAGTGCAGAGTAAGAAAAAAAGTGGGATCAGTGGGAGGGCTCTCCCACAGAGCGCCTCTCCCCTCAGGGAATTCCTGGTAACTTAACCCCCCCCCGCCCCCCGTTGCGGAGGAAGGGGCTGCACGGGGGCTGCACTGCTGCGCCCACCTTCTTCCAGCCCATCCCTGCTCCTGGGAGGGGCTGAGTGTGTAAGGTCGCTCCCAACCCCAAAGTGACCCGGGCAAAGGGGAAAGACTGTATCTTAGATATGGACAGATTACATCCGCAATTTCTTAAAGCAACAGAAACAACGCCAGCAATGGAATTTCTTTTAAAGGCCCGAAGGCCTGAGCTTGAACCACAGAGCAGCAGTATCTCTGGGTTTGGGTAGCGTGTGTGACAGCCCCACGCAGAGACCCAGGCCAGCGTGTTCCCCTAGGCCTCTCATCTCCAAACTTCGGCGGCCCCGGCTGTTAAGGCAGACGACAGTCACACTCCTCCAGAGCCCCCCCGCACTCCCCACCTTCAGGGAGGTGTGGACGGTGCTCTGAGACCCAAGCATGGCCCTTCTCCCTAAAAGCCCGCCTGGCTCTAGTCCTCTGCCTGCCCAGCGCCACTGACCTGGGGCTGCAGCTCTAAGGGGTGACCCGCAGCTCTGGAGGGTGGGAAACCTCTCAGAGGGAGCTCTGTCCTGGATCCCTGAACAGACTGAGTTGCGGATGGGTCTGTTTCTGAGGGCGCATGTGCTGCGGCCAAGTTTTCCAAATATGCTTTGAGCCCAGAGGGGAGTAAAGAGCTGCAGTGATCCCAGCACCGAGCTGTCAGGTGACCCCCTAGCATGGGGGGGAATCGATTTCCATTCCCTTTACTGTCTCTGAGTGGTTTGGGTGGTGAGATTCAGGAAAGGTGCACCAGGGTCCAGGCTGAGCAGCTGCGGGGGGGGGGGGAATCCGAGGAATGCAGGCCCTGCAGCAGCATCTCCCACCTCGTGGCCCGGGCCAGGCCCCACCCGGGCTCTTCTGTAACTTCCCTGCACCCCATCCTCACCACCAGCCTACATGGAGGGTGAGCGGGATGGATCCTCTGCGCTGGGGCCCGCCTGGGTCATCTGGGGAACAGCTTACGCGGGACGTGCACCGTGAGGGATTCTCTTTAGCCCCAGCCAGCAAGGAATCCCGGGTAAAATGACTTTGTCTCAGCCAGAGGAATGTCACCAGCAGGGGATGTTTTCCTCTAGATCTAGCTGTGCGTTTTCCATCAGGTTTCCTCCTTTGTGGCTTTCTGGGCAGAGCCTGGAGGGAGGGAGGGAGGGAGGGGAGGCCTGAAGAGGGTAAGGCACAGGGGCTTACTTGGAGGACTAGATTTTTGTGCAGGGAACTGAGCCATCCCCTCCCCCCCCCCCCACTGCCCACCACACACACACCATGACGGCCTTCACAGCCCTGCTGAGCTGTGGGCCTCTCCCCCTGCGTCACACCCAGCCGCCGCACACCCTCCCTGCAGCCCTCCCCTCCCTGCATTTCACCCCCAACAGCGTTGGGGGAACTGGCCAGAAAGAGAGCAAGCCAGCCAGCAGCTCAGCCCAGGGAAGGGGTCCCAGATTTCTGAGTCCCCTGCTAAGAGGATTCTGGGCTGGAGGATCTGTAAACCCCCTCCTCCTTGGAACTGGTTCCTGTCAGAACCCAAAAGGATCTGAGGTTTCCCTGCATAAGTTCCTCTTTCCTCCTCAAGGAGGAAGGTGGGCTGCACGGAGACCCTACCTTCCTCCAGCTTGGGACCCACCATCCTGCTTGGTAGAGGCTTCCACAGGGTAAGGACAGGGTCCCTGGAGACTCTGCTCCTTAAATAAATAGCATGCAAATTAGCACCTGCTATTCCCAGCCACCAGGTCAAGGCGCGTTGGGTAACTAGACAGCAGTGCTGTGTGGGGGCTTCTGTGAAGACAGGAAACCGCGGCCTGTTGGGTCAGCGGCCCCGACCTCGCCCCTCACGGGGGTGTGGCCAAGTATGGGGGCGTGGCCCAGCTGCTCTGACCACAGTGAGGGGCACACAGGGGTGACTGAGCTCTTCTTTTGCGGATCCCAGGCTGCAGAGTTGTAGCCTGCGGCAGGATGAAGGGGGAGACGCCTGCTGAGAGGGAGCCGAGAGTTAGGCTCTTTTCCAGAAAGAAAACCCAGCCAGAGAGGAAAAAGGCCTGCATCTCAGACAGCCTCCTCTTCACAGCCCTCGGGAGCCCAGATCACGTGTGTCCCCTGTGCCAGGCCCAGCAGAGTGGCTCTTTACAAGGGGGAAACTGAGGCACAGGGAGGCCAGGAAATGTGCAAAGCACAGGACGGCGCCCAGACCAGCACGCACGCATCTTTCAGCCTGATTCCCTCCCCTGCCCCTCGCCACACACACCTGGGATCTCAGTCCCCAGGGCTCTGGACCAATGTTCCGTTTCCAACAGAGACATCTGAGGAGACCGTGGGAGGCCCTGGTCCTCTCCCTAACAACAGTCTCAAGGCAGACGGGGCTGATTAGAGGCAAGAAAAGAAGAGAAAGACTTGCCAGGAAGTGCCATGTGGTCTGAGTTCCCGTTTCACCTGTCTGGGCCCTGGTTGCACCCCTGATTCCTGGTGAGCCAGGGAAGTGAGACCCCTCAGAAGACTAGGTACCAGGGCAGGCTCTGTCTCTGGACCGATGCCTACTCCCCTCTTTCCCCTCAGTTACGAGGCTGTTCCCTCCTTTAGGTAGGAAAGTCTCTGCCCCTGCACAAGTCTCGGCCAGGACGAGCCCCCTCGGCCCTCGGGGGAAGCTGGGCCCAGAGACCCCTGCATGTCCTGGCCGCGCGCACCGAGCTGGTAGCATCCGGGCAGACAGAACAAAGAGCGTTTCACCACACAGACAGGGGTGATGAGAGAGAGTCAGCCCAGAATGCGGGGGGGCGGGGGGCGGTGAGTTAGCCGGTGTCCACACTGGTGGGGCCTCACGCTGTCCGGGGGGAATGACCTCACTACATCTCTAATCCCTGCTTTTACAAACCTACCCTCGCGTCCCCCGATGACCCCACTGAATTCTGGGGGATCATCTGTTGTGACCTTGATGGAAGAAATCTATAAAAATCATTCCCGGCCTCTGGGTAGCACATTCACATCATAAAATAGGATTTCATTCTCAAACAACCTAGCGATCTAGGGTGAGGCAGGTGTTAGTCTACTCTCCACTTGCTTTAGGACATTCAAGCTCAGGAAGGTTGAGAGCGTGGCCTTAGGTATTCTGGCCACAGGCATGGGAGCCGTGATGGCGTGGGTCCCAGGTCAGGGGCTGTCGGATCCCCGGTGGACTTCTTGGCCTCTCAGGGAGGCCCGGGCCTTCAAGGGCTCCCTGTGCATGTCCCTGGCGAGCTCTCTCGGCTCTGGACCCATTAGGGCTGTGCCTGAGCCCCACACAGACACACTTCTCATGGCTGGAGATCTGGAATGTCAGAGCCGAAACAGCCTTAGAGCTCCTCTGGCTCGGCGCCCAGGTGTTCACGGGGAGGGAAGGTGGGCTGAGGAAGGGCAGCCCTTCTGCAGGCCCAGGCCGCCTGGCTCTGGGGCGGTGCTACCCCTTCTTTCCACCTCCCTCCCCAGGGCAGCCTGGGCTCCAAGGGAGAGGTGGAGGGTGGGTGGGAGAGCGTGGGTCGGGCCTGGAGGGCAGATGCATGCGTGGTGGGGTGTCCCAAAGTCCAGCCCCGGGTCCGGCTGAGATGTTCCTGGGGCAGCAAATGAGCCAGCTGGAGGAGGGGGTCCCACTCCCAGCTGTGTGCCTGCTTCCCAAATATTTACACAACCTCTGAGGAGGCCTGCCTTCCCTGCCACCCTGCAGCTGGGAGAGGCGGCGTCCCGCCAGATCGCACACAGTGGGCAACTGTTTCACATCGTCCCAAACCTCAGCGTCTCTGTGTGGTTCTGAGAGCGCAGGACAGATGGGGCGGTGGGAAGGGAGAGAGCAGGGGGCTGCCCGCCCTCCACAGGGCCTGCCGGACCCTCAGCTGCCCCTGGGCAGACGCGAGTGTGTGTGTGAGTGTGTGTATGAGTGTGAGACCCCCGAGGACAGCGCAGTGATTTCAGGTTGGCCGAAGCACCCGCTGACCCAGGTTCCCCATTCCTGAGCTGGAGCTCCAGTCTCTGCCTCCCGCCCCACCCCGCCCCGCCCAGATGATCCCAGCAGCTTCCTTTCGCTGCCCCCTCACAGGAGCCAGGCAGACGCTTTGCAACACGCGTCCAATCTCATTGCTTCTCTGCCTGGAAGCTGCCTGTGGCTGCCCCTCACTTGTACTACCTGGCCCCTGGCTACACCCTGACCTCATTTCTGATCACCGTCTGTCTTGTTTATTCTGCTTCAGCCACACGGACCTCCCTGCATTTCCCTGAACACATGCCCATTCTTGCCCCAGGGTCTTTGCACATGCTCTTCTGGGCATCAATTACTGGAGAGTTTTCCCTGACCAGGCTCCCCAACAGCCCCCACCCACCACTCTGTCCCTCACCCTGCTTCATCTTCCTTTATGACGCACAGCACCACCCGATCTACCACGTATTTACCTGCTGGCTAGTTTGCCTTCTCTCTTTTGTATATGAGTTTAAGAATGATGACTTTTTCTCCTGCTGTACGCCCAAGTGTCTGTACAGCAGGTTTCTATAAGTACTTACTGACCGTGTGAATAAGCAGCATGAGGTGGGCACTGTCATCCCCTTTCCCTTCAGACGGTGAGGCTAAGTCACTTATCCAGGGTCATGCAGGCCATAGCAGCAAACCGAGGATAAATCCGGGGCAACTGGACTCTGGAGCGCCCCACCGATGGCGCTGGCCTATCTCTCAAGAACAGGAAACTAACCACAGGGACTGGAGGAGCCACAAGGGACGGGACGGATGCTGCCATCCAGACCGCAGGGGCGACTGCTCGGAGCTGGGAAGAAAGGACCTCACGCGGGGACCATCGAGGAAAGGTGAGCACAGGCACAGGGCGGCTGCAGGGGCTTGCCGCTCAGAGGGGACGGTGACAGGCAGGTGACAGCTGTGCCTCCTCTTCTAATCATACTCGGCGGAAAGCTGCGTCCTGGGAGCCTCTGCTGCCGGAAGTGCCACCGCCGGGCTCTGTCCATGGGGACAGCATTGCTCCTGAACTGCCCCTTTGTCATCAGACCCACAGGGGCCGAGACAGAAGCCAGACAAGGAAGAGGACGCTGAGAGATTGAGAGGGTGGCCAGTGAGGAGAGGAGACAGGGAAGGGTCTGGACGGGGCTGAGCGGTCAGGAGCAGAGGGCAGCCGCGACGGTGGAGACGTGTCCCCGGGTCTGGCTGGACGGCCCACAAGAAGAAAAGGACAGGGCACAGGGCAGACCCCTCTTAATAGTTACTTATTTGGCTACGTGCGCCGGGTCTTAGTTGCGGCATGCTGACCCTTAGCTGCGGAATGCATGGGTGGGGGCGGGTCTAGTTCCCCGACCAGGGATCGAACCCATGCCTCCTGCACTGGGAGCGCAGAATCTTCCCCGCTGGACCACCAGGGAACTCCCTGGACCCCTCTTAATACGAGCCGGCCAAGGCGGGCAGAACAGGCGGGCTGGTGAGACACTGGTCCCTCCACCTCTCGGACGCTCTGCAGCCTGTGTGGCTGGTGCACGCCCTGCCCTCTGCCAGGGAAGCCTCTTTGTATCCAGCCCCTCACACGTGTGTCTGGGTGGCTCTCCCCTCGCCCCCGCTTGGCTGCACGTCCCGCGCACTGGCTCTGTTTACCGCCTGCGCCAGCCCCAGCATCATCTTGTCCACCCGTCTCTCCGTGACCCTGACCTGTGGATTGGTGAGCACTTGTCTGTCTCTACCATAGCTGCCTGCCTGCGGTCTCTCAAGGCCTGACTCGTTCTGCCTGTTTTCCAAATCCAGACCTTAATGCACCTGCCTGTGCTAGCTCCATCATGGCCCCAACGTACGGGCAATAGCAACTCAGTCCTGCAGCCTCTCTGGGGCAGCCCGTGCACAGCTCAGTGGGTGGGTGCCCAGCCTGGCCTGCTGGCCTTTCTTCAGCCGCAGTGAATGGTCCATTGCTGCCCGGCCAGAGACATCTGATACCCCAGAGGCCAGAGCTGGCCCCTCGCAAGCATCCTGGGACAGCTCAGCCTTTGAGCCACGGTCAACAGAGCCTGTATTCATGAGGCGCGCGTCGCTCCTTCTGCCCTTGCCCTGAGCTCCCGGCTGTGGCTGTTCTGTGGTTTGCAAAGCATGACCCTATCCTTGAAGACGGAGCAGTCACTTAGGGGCTCTCCGGGAGGGGGCCTCCAACAGCACGGCCTGCTGGGTGTAGAGGGGAGCTCCTTCTGCAGTGGCAGTAAGGCCTGTGACCCCCGCCCCCAAGCTTAGGGACACACATACTACACCCAAATGGAGGCAGCGGGCGAGCTGGAGATAGCATGGGACGGGGAGGGCAGGTGTCGGAGGCGCCCGGCTCTGCTCCTGTGCTGCCACTTTTAAGTTATGAGCTCCTGGCCAGCCAGTGAAGCCGAGTTCCACTTTCCTCGCTTGTAAATTGGGGAAAAGAACACCTGATTCACAGAGCTGTTAAGATTAAATAAGACAGTGCCATAGAAGTGTTTTGTAAACCACATGTGCCATGCGATTGTTAGAGAATTATAAAAGCACAAGTTACTACAGCACAAATTATACACACAAGTTCCAGGACGACCCCGAGTCGGGTAGCAGTCCCACTGCAATGGGGTGAATTTGGGGAGGCTTCCAGCAGGGGTGGCGGGAAGAGCCAGGCACAGACAAGTGAGCGACTAGGTATCCTCCTCAACCCCCCAGCTGGGCAAGTCCCCCTCTGCAGACAGCCTTCAGACCTTCAGAGCATTGGTTTTCTAGGCTCCAACCGAGAGAGGGGAGGGAGGTAACATTTGCCGAGCACCTGCTGTATACCTAGCACGTTATTACGATGTACTCCATAACATCCTCACGACGACCCTATTCCCGTTGGACCAGCCCCACCAGAATGGACGCACAGCCTCCCCAAAGCCTCAGAGCTGGGATCTGAGCCCACTCCAGACTTGGGCTCTTCCTGTAATATCAGATTGCATGGAATTTCCAGCACTCCACGAGCCCAGCTGGCTCATCCCAGAACATAAGGTGTGTGGGTGGGGAAAGGAGGAGGCCGACGATGAAGGAGAAGAGACAAGTGGACAGGCAGGCAGGCGGGCAGGACTGGTGGGGAGGTGCCAGACCCGTCTCCACGGCTTCCGCAACCCTTATCCGTCTTGACTGTCAACCAGCTTGTATATCATCAAACTCAGGGAAAACCCGGCAGCTCAACTGTAGGTTACTAGGACACACCACAGGGGCCCCTCCTCTGCCTGCATCCGTCGCCTTGGCAACCAGCACACATCCAGCTGCCCCTCTGGAATACCTGGCTCACTGCAACCTTCCAGCGACCCTGTTGGGTCTGAACAGACCCTGTGATTCCACCCCGCACACCCTCAGCAATGCTTTCACTGTTCTGTTTTAGGAATGAAGGGTGTTTCGACAGCCACTGGCTCTCTGAAGCCATCCCCTCGCTCCCGACAGACCAGGAATCTGACTCCACAGCTCCTCCCTTCCCATCTTCCCTCTTTATAACTGATGTCCCTTGTATCCCACCTATGTCCCCTCTGCAGTTACTGTTCCCATAAACACAGACACAGCCGCTCTGCAGGCACCTGTGACTCTCAGTCTGCGTGAACACCAGGATGCAATGCCCCTGGGAGCCGCCCTCAGCCAGTAACGACTGGGCGTCGAAAGATAAATATCCAGGCTTCCTGGCCCTCTGGGTGGGCATGTAATCCCCCAGAACCCCCAAGCCCAGCTGACCTCAACAGTGACCCGCACAGAACGCATCCTGCACTGGCTTCCTTCTCTCCCCGACCCACTTCCCCACCCCCATCAGTGCTTTCTGGAATCACCTCCCAAATAAACCACTTGCACGCAAATCTTTGTCTCGAGGTCTGCTTCTGGGGACTCCATCCCAGGACACACTTCATGTACAGCACACGTGTTTGAGTGAGGTACAGACAGCCCCGTTAGCCAGGTCACGGCGGGAGAGGACCCATGGTCACTCGCACGGTCCTGTGTGCAATGAGTTTGCTACACTGCACAGCCACACGCTGGACCCGTGGCCGGTGGTCTCCAAGCCGCACAGGGGCACCCTTTGCCACACGATAGCACTGCATGAGCAGGCAGATGTGGGTCAGGACGCCGCCATCCTGCTTGGTGAACCACTTAGTTTGTCATCCTCCCAGGGAGGCTCAGGAACAAGCACGAAGGTTAACACACACTTTTCCAAATGCTGTCTTGTCTTTCAGAAGGTGCGTGTGACAGCTTAGGGCCACCAGCTTGCTACCATCGGGCACCAAATGGCTAACATCTAACACTTGCTACATACAGAGTAAACGTGTTCCTGATTCGGTGCTCGCACCAGCCTTACGGACTAGGGTGCTACCACTCTGCTTTTTCTAGACAAGGGAACTCGGGCAGGGGGAGAGCAGGCACCCACAGTGACACACAGAGCTCACGAGAAGAGCCAGGGCCCTGTCTAGCCGTGAGCCGTACTCCACACCACTCTGCAACCCCGCCGGTCCTGGCGTGCCATGTCGGCAAGCCTGTGCTCCAAGGCCGGTTCATTTAACTCTGCACCACAGGACGCAAAGTACATCAAGACGGTGTAGAAATGCAAAACAAGATCACCCCCCTCAACAGAGTCAAAGCCCAAACTCTGTGAACTCATCTGTCAAGTTGAAGAAATCTTATGTGGATACTCTAACAGCCCCTAATTAAGCCGGAGGCCACCAGTTACATGAACAGAACCGTAAGTTGAAACCAGAATAAATATTTCAGACCGACAGTTCTTCATACTTTTTAGAGCACTCTTACTCTTTTCCACTTGATCCTCCCAAGGCACAAATGATGACCTTTTTACAAATGAGCAAACGGAGACTCAGAGGGGTTGGGGACTTGCTTAGTGCCACGCCGCGAGCTAGAGGGGAGCTCCGGAGGGAGCCCCGGATGCTCAGATGCTCCTTCCCCTGCACCCAGAGAAGGTCGGCCGAGGCCACGTGCGTGAAGCTGCAGGTCACCGTTAGATGTTGCCCCCGAAGAGGCAACGGCCACTGTCTGCATCAACTACACCTCACTCCTGCTGCTGCCGTGGATACCGCAGGCATCTTTTAGATGTGAAGCCCTTCAAGGGCAGGAGCTGATTCCTTCCTGAACTTGAACGCCGGGTCCTCCCCAGGATGGCCCCCTACCCCTCTGCCCCAATCCTTGTGTTCCACCGGCAGAAGCCCGGCCTGGTCCAGCCGCCCACGGGGTGGAATGCCTGCCATGTAACAGAGGAGACAGGGGCAGGGGAGGAAGACTCTCCTCCCTGCCCACTCACATTCCAGAGTTCTCCTCTCTCTGTACAAACCCTACAAACCCAGTGCCCCTTGCAGGAGGATTCTGTCCCTAAAGGGGGTGGGGTTTGGCATCTTGGGATCAGCCATCTGGAGCCCAGTGAGTGACGTTCCTTCTCAGGAGGGGGCTGCCCAGGCCCAGGCCACTCAGCAAGGCAGGAGGCTTTCGTTAAGGCTTGGGCTCCTGCCTCTGGGAGCAAAAAGCCAGCCTGGGAGGAGACCGGGGCCTACAGTTTATTTTATTTGACATTTTTCAACGTCGGGACACTTCAGCACCAAGGAGGAAACGAATCCCATCTGTTCCCGAGCTCCTGAGCACGGTTTAAGAGGACAGGCTGGGGAAGGAGGGGACGAATAGGGACAGGACAGGAGCAGCCAGCCGCCACGCGGGGCAGGGACCACCCGACGGTGGAGCCCCGCTGCCCCCTGGCACACCCGCAGGGCTCTGTCTAAAGCTCTGCGGTCCTTGGTCGAGGTCGCCAGACAGCGGTCCTGCCAGGGCTGCAGAGACTACCCTACCCCAGGTGAAGGGTGCCCCCGGGAGGGTGTGACAGCAGCACTGCTGGTGACGCAGCTGGGGTTCCTGCCCACCCAGACCACCATTTACACAGACGGAAGTGGAGACGGTGAGGAGACGGTGAGAGGCACGTGCAAGTCAAAGGAGGGAGGGGCTGGAGGGCACACACAGCCCCGTCCGCACGCCCCCACCCCCCGCCGGAGCCCACACTCACCTCTGTAGGTGCAGCATCCCCACCTCCCACCCCAACACTGGGGGTTAGGCGTGTGCAGATGGCTGTGGAACTCATCTCCTTATTTAGATTAAATTCCAGACCTCCCTATTTTTAGAAAAACAAATTTCTCTTCTCTTTTCAGGAGGTAAAAATGTCCTGAGCTGCCACCTGGGGCAGCCGGCAGCCAAGCCGATGCTGTCCACGGCGTCAGGCTCTGGATGTCACCCTGCCAGGACCGGGCAGATCAGTCCAGGTGCCAAATTTTTAAGAGGATCATTGACAACCTGAGAGCTTCCAGAGGAGGGTAATGAGGACAGGTGGGATCTGGAAAACTGGGTCATTTCAGGAAGTACTGAAATGAGTTGGGGACTCTTTCTTTTGTAGAGAAGAGACTATCTGAACCATCATTAAGAGCATGTTGAAATGTTTGGATAAAGACTTCCACTTAGTCTGTTTTTCTCAGATGACAACATTTGAATCAACAGGCAGAAGTGAAGCAGATTTCAGGTGAATACTTAAATGCTTTCTTGTAATCTTATGCGATTTGGAGTGGAATAAGCCCCCCCGGCACTGTGCCCACCCAAATCAAGGCTGAGAGATGCTGTCGGGGTTACTATGAAGAAGATTTGTTAACTTTATGGGAAGACAGACTAGCCCCCAAATCACTGAGAAGTGTCAGAAAAATACGGCTTCCTGAGGTAGGAGAGGTAGGCCGGGCATGAGACTTGGAATTTGTATTTTTAAAAAGCCCCAGCAGCGGGCTTCCCTGGTGGTGCAGTGGTTAAGAATCCGCCTGCCAATGCAGGGGACACAGGTTCGAGCCCTGGTCCGGGAAGATCCCACGTGCCGCGGAGCAACTAAGCCCGTGTGCCACAACTGCTGAGCCTGTGCTCTAGAGCCCGTGAGCCACAGCTACTGAAGCCCGTGTGCCACAACTACTGAAGCCCGCGCGCCTAGAGCCCGTGCTCCGCAATAAGAGAAGCCACCGCAATGAGAAGCCCACACACTGCCTTAAGAGTAGCCCCCGCCCACCGCAACTAGAGAAAGCCTGCACACAGCAACAAAGACCCAATGCAGCCAAAAATAAATTAATTAATTAATTAAATTTTTTTAAAAAACTAAAAAAAAGCCTCAGCAGCTATAAAACTCTTGGAGAAAAACATTGGGGAAAAGGTTCATGACATTGGATTTGGCAATCATTTCTTGGCTATGACACCTACAGTGTAGGCAACAAAAGAAACAAGAGATAAACTAAACTTGATTGAAATGAAAAACTTTTGCGCATTAAAGGACACCATCAACAGAATGAAAAGGCAACCCACAGAATGGGAGAAAATATGTGCAAATCATATGTCTGATAAGGGATTAATACCCAGAATATATAAAGAACTCCTACAACTTAACCACAACAACCAAACAACCTAATTAAAAAATGGACAAAGGACTTGAATAGATATTTCTCCAAAGAAGACATATGAATGGCTAATAAACACATGAAAAGATGTTCAACATCTCTAGTCTTTAGGGAAACGCAGATTAAAACCACTTCATACCCATCATGATGGCTGTTATTAAAAAAACAAACACATGGAAAATAACAAGTGTTGGCGAGAATGTGGAGAAAAGGCAGCCCTCATGCACTGCAGGTGGGGATGGAAAATGGTGCAGCCACTCTGGAAATTTTTTCTGGTTCCTCGAAAAAATTAAAAATAGAGCTACATATGATCCAGCAATTCCACTGCTGAGAATACACCCAAAAGAATTGAAAGCAGATTCCTGAGGAAATATTTGTACACTCACGTTCATAGCAAGCAACCCAAATGTATATCAGTGGGTAAATGGATAGACAAACTGTGGTCTGTATATACAATGGAATATTATTTGGCCCTAAAAGGGAAGGAAATTCCGACTGCTATCACATGGATGAATCTTGAGGACATGATGCTGAGTGAAATAAGCCAGTCTGAAAAAGACAAATACCGTGTGATTTGGAGTTCTGTGAGGTCCTTAGAACAGTCAAGCTCATAGAGACAGAACGAGGAAGGGTGGGGTGGGGGGCTGGAGAGGGGGCTGGGGAGTCAGTGTTTAACGGGTGCAGAGTTTCAGCTTGGGAAAATGAAAAAGTCCTGGAGATGACGTCAGTGATGGTGACACGGCAATGTGAACGTAATTACCACCACTGAACTCTTAAACTTAAAAGCAGTTAAGGGCTTCCCTGGTGGCGCAGTGGTTGAGAGTCCGCCTGTCGATGCAGGGGACGCAGGTTCGTGCCCTGGTCCGGGAGGATCCCACATGCCACGGAGCGGCTGGGCCCGTGAGCCATGGCCGCTGAGCCTGCGCTCCGCAACGGGCAAGGCCACAGCAGAGAGAGGCCCGTGTACCGCAAAAAAAAAAAAAAAAAAAAAAAAAACGCACTTAAGATATTAGCCACGTATAAAACCATGTTTTACTATAATTGTTTAAATACATAACTTCAAGTATATGATGGTTTTAGCAGCTGCATTCCCTTCCGCATCCTGGTTTGTTGAGCTTCAGTTTGAAGAATCTGCCTTCCCTGAGCTCACCCAGATGGGCAACCCGGAATCGGCCAGGCATTGGGATGGAGCGGGGAGGGCTGATTCCGGACTGAACAAGGGCTTGGGAAGAGCCCCAAGTGGGCGATCCCCCGTCAGGGGATGGACGGAAGGCACCGAGAAAGCCTCGGGGTTACTGCCATCCTCCACGTCTCACCGGGATGGCCTGTGACTGTGTCAGCTGGGGTCGGGGGGGATGGGGGGAGCGAAAGCCCGGCGGCGAGCCT